TATCAATAAACACTAAATGAATCAATTCTAATGCATGAAAAATAGGTTTTTTAAAGTTTTTCCCAAAAAGTCAAAAATTGACCCCGGGACCACATGGTCAAAACCCGAGGTTCGAACCAAAACCCAATTAACCATTCACCCACGAACTCAAATATATAATTTGTTTTGAAATCGGACCTCAAACCGAGGTCCAAATCCCCAAAATTTGAAAATTCTAGGTTCTACCCAAAACATCCAATTTCCCCCATGAAAACCCTTGATTTTGAGTTGAAATCATATAAAAAGATGTTATAGATTAAAGAAAATGAGTTAAAAATGACTTACTAATGATTTGGAAGAGCGAGTGCCTTTGAAAAATCGCCCAAGAGAGTTTAGGTTTTTGAGAAAGTTGTAAAAATGGTTGAAATTTCGGCTAAGTTACAATTTCCACAGGTGCAGATATCGCATTTGCGATGCCAGGTTCGCAAATGCGGCCCAGGCTTCGCAAATGCGAAGGTAGGCCAGTCTTGCTTTCTTCGCAAATGCGAACAATTGTTTGCAATTGCTATACCTGCTATGGTCGCATTTGCGACATTGAGCCTCACAAATGCGAAGGTCACCCTGCCCAGCCCTTTTCGCAATTGCGATGTTTTCTTCGCAATTGCGAAGCCTGCAAACCTGCAACACACCAACAGTTTTTCTAAGTCCAATTTCACTCCGTGGCCTATCCAAAATTCACCCGAGCCCTCGGGGCTCCATACCAAACATGCACGCAAGTCCAAAAATATCATACGGACTTGCTCGTGCGATCAAATCATCAAAATAACATCTAGAACTACGAGTTTAGCATCAAAATCAAAGAAAATCTCAAGAACTCTTAAAGTTCAAATTTTTCAACCAAGGGTTCGATTCACATCATATGAAGTCCGTTTCTTACCAAATTTTACATGCAACTCTTAATAACCTTACAAGACCTGTACCGGGCTCCGGAACCAAAATACGGGCCCGACACCATCAGATTCAAACACATTTAAATTTTCAAAAACTCTTAAATTTCAGTAAAATAATTTTTCTTCAAAAATTCATTCCTCGGGCTTGAGACCTCGGAATTCAATTCCGGGCATACGCCCAAGTCCCATATTTTCTACGGACCCTCCGGGGCCATCAAATCACGGGCCCAGGTCCGGAACCGTTTACCCAAAATATTGACCGGAGTCAACTTAGATTCAATTTTAAAGGCAAAATTAGCATTTTTATCAAAATTTCACATAAAAGCGTTTCGAATACACGCACGGACCATGCACGCAAACCGAGGTATGATAAAAGGAGGTTTTTAAGACCTTGGAACACAGAATTTGCTTTCAAAAACATAAATTTCATACAACTAATTATATATTATACAACTTTTCTACAACTTTCATACATTATTTTTACCCAGTTATATACAATTACAATATCATACAACATAAATACAATTTTTATACAATATTATTCAACTTTCATACAATATTTAAATATAAAAAAATATAAACAACAGAATATAATTTTTCTACAATTTTACTACAACTTTACTACATTCGTAAGTATAATGTATGTCATGTCGTCTTCTTCTTCTTCTTCTTCTTCTTCTTCTCTTCTTCTTCTTCTTCTTCTTCTTCTTCTTCTTCTTCTTCTTCTTCTTCTTCAAAGGTTTTATATGGTGGTTGTGAATATATTTTAATGTAGTTTATGATATTTTACAATGGTGAGCTGTTATGACGTCTTATTTTTTACTATTGCTTAGGGTTTCTTTTTTTTTTCTTAATTGCAAAATGGGTTCATCAGATTTATTGTTGTTTTGACAAATTGATGATTGGGGTTTGTTCCTGATGATATTTGGAGGCTATGTTTCAAATTTGAGCTCATTTGGAGTAGATTTAGGTATTAAATCGTATATTGGATTGTTATAATTCAAAGAACAAAATTTCGTGTCTGGGCAATTTTCACTTCAGACTTATTGGCATTAAGTGAATGAAAACGTTTGTTGCACTTCACACTTTTTGGCCTTAAGTGCATCCGAAGTGCAATTTTTCACTTCAACTTATTGGCCTTAAGTGTAGCAAAACGTTTGTTGTACTTCAGACCTTTTGGCCTTAAGTGCATTTGAAGTGCAATTTTTCACTTCAGACTTATTGGCCTTAAGTGCATGAAACTATTGGTTACACTTCAGACCAATTTGGCCTTAAATGCATCTGAAGTGCAAATTTTCAGTTCAGACTTATTGACCTTAAGTGAATGAAAACGTTTGTTGCACTTCAGACTTTTTGGCCTTAAGTGCATTTGAAGTGCAATTTTTCACTTCAAACTTATTGGCCTTAAGTGCATCTGAAGTGCAATTTTTCACTTCAGACTTATTAGCCTTAAGTGCATGAAACCATTGGTTGCACTTCATACCTATTTGGCGTCTAAGTGCAATTTGAAGTGCAACTTTTTCACTTCAGTACATTTTTTTATAACTTCAGACCCG